CCCGGGCCGCCGCCGCCCCCGCCGCCGCCCCCGCGCCCCCCGCGGCCGCCGCCTGCCGCCGCCGCCGCCGTTGCCGCTGCTGCTGGGGCTGCTGCTGGCGGCCGCGGGGCCCGGTGCGGCGCGGGCCAAGGAGACGGCTTTCGTGGAGGTGGTGCTGTTCGAGTCGAGCCCGAGCGGCGACTACACCACCTACACCACCGGCCTCACGGGCCGCTTCTCGCGGGCCGGGGCCACGCTCAGCGCGGAGGGCGAGATCGTGCAGGTAGCTGCCCGCCGCCCGGGCCCCGCGCCGCCGCCACAAGATGGCTCCGGGGGCTGCGCCCGCCGACCCCACCGCGGGCGGGCGGGCGGGGCGGCGACGAGGCCGGCGGCATCCCTCCGGGCAGGCGGGCGGGACGCGGCCTCCGGCGCCGCCGCAGCGGGGGCGAGCGCACGTGGGGGCTCGCCGCCTGTGGGTCTCGGGGCGGGAGCGGGGCCCGGGGGCTGGGCACCGGCGATGGGGCGGCCCCCGTGGGCCGCTTGGGCATTTCGTATTGCCTCAGGTGGAAGTCCCGGAAACTACCTGTTGAAAGCCAACTTTGGAAAAATAAGTGAGGAGGGATGGGGTGGCTTGTTTCAGGTCGCACGCTTTGCTTTCTATCCATGCATGTTCTTTTGGGGAGTAACCAGGTTTGTCTGAGAGGCTGCACAACATCAGGTTCGTCCCTGGAACGTGCTGCCAGCCTCACCTGGGCGCTGACCTTCCTGCAGGGCTCCGGACAAGCAGGAGCAGGCAGGCAAGCAAGGGGGAGCTGGCCGAGGAGTGGGGATCGCGGGTGCCCAGGAGTGGCGGTTGAAGGCAGCCCTCGCTGCATGCCTTAGATTACAGGGGGTGGGAGGGAGACTGCCCGCTTCTCGGTGAAGGGCTTTTGCGGAGGGCCTGGAAATCAGGACACACGGTCGCTCACTGACAGGGCCTCCACCTTGCTGCAAATGAGAGGCTTGCATTCCAGAGGCACCCGTCTAGGGAGAGCCTTAAGATGTGCCCACTCTTTGGAGGAGGGACTTTGAGCTGAAGCCTCCGAGGTTGGTGAGCTGGGTGGATGCCTTCCCGCTTTCTTGGCGATGATTTTATCAGCTTGTTAGACTGCCAGTGTACTTAGGGCAGTTAATATGCATGCCTTGGACGTGGGCGATTTGAAATAGCTGGCTTGTGTTTGAACCTTTTAGTGGTGATGGAATGGGTGCAGGGCTCTAAGCTTTGGGCCTTCCGTGCATTACTCTTGGGTGAGTTATGAATGAAGAGAAGGCGACTTTATGGAATGACTGCATAGCAGCCTCTTCTCCCCTCCCCTCCCCTGGTGAAGACGCACAGCCTTGCATGGATAGGACAGGGAGCTGTGCAGCTTGGCTCTTTAGAGGTGTGTCCTTGCAAAACTGGGGGATTAATCATCTGGTGGATTAATCAGCAGCAGTGCTTTATGGGGGCTCTTCTCCCCATCTTAAACTTATGCGGAATAAATAGAAGGGGAAACACATGTTGTTTGAGTCCTGTGACTACATATGTTAAAGGTTTTAGACTTTTTTCTTTGCTAATAATGTTTTAATTATGGTCTTTAATTTATAAGCTTTAGAGAGAGGATGGTCTGCTAAAGATGCCTATATGGTTCAGTCTCAGCCTTCAAGAGTAGTTTGAATCTTAAAGCTTACACCTTGTGACTCCTTGTTTCTCTTTGAGGCTTTCAGTGGGCCTGATGGCTTTAGAAATGTTTGATTTACAGTCTTCTAAGAGAAAAGATGTTTTAATGTGGCACTTCACTTTCTGAAGGAGACTTTTGAAGTTTGCGATTTTTATCTGCAGTGTTTTAACTTGTACTCTTTCCCCACGGTAGTTTGTCTGGCAAGCTATCCATTATGAGTAGTGTTATGCTTTGGAGATAATCTTAGGTTCACCATTTAATACAAAATTAGCAGTTTAAATACACCGTTTATAACCATTTTATCCTTGTGAGTAGAGAGAGAATGTGAATTTGGCAGAAGGAATCTGTCCTCTTTTGAAACTTTTTGAAGTGCTTATCTAACTCTTGTAGTCCATTAGCCTAGCCCCAAAAAAGAAAAAAATTAAGTCAACAGTTGCTAAGTAAAGAAAAATGACATAAATAGTATTTAATAAGTTTACCAGTTAAGCAGTCACTAATAAGTGTCCTTAATTCCCACATAACAGCAGTAATGTCGGTGAGTTTATCTGAGCTGTCTGCATAGTCATTTCTCGGTGTTCCCATTCTCTATCTTTAATAACTTTATCATGGGCGCCTACTCGCTGAACCTCTCTCTGCGTGTGCACAGGAGGAGCTCCGCGTGGCTTTCAGAGCTGTGTGTCTGCAGAGGCTAGCCTGCTTTTTATTCTTCAAAGACTGCGGGATTGAAGGAACTGGTGAGGCCCGTCAGCCCTGAAAAAGGATTTTGTAAGGAAAGTTGATGTCTTAGGATTGTTGAGTGGAAATGTGACATTTTATGTGAGAAATGAGAATGGAGAAGAAACAAATTGGGTGTTCAGCTTCAGATTAATCAGGTTTTTAAAGTGCCCTCGTTGAACTTTTCAAACCTTTTATTTACTATCTTAAAATACATTTTTTGTGTGTGATTTGCTACTTAGTGTTTTATGGTCTTCCAAGCAGAGTTCATTTTCCTGTAACTAAACCTAAATAGTAGCACAATAGCATTCCAGTGGGTTCTGGTAGCCTTATTGTTCACGGTTTAGGGAAGAAAAAGACCTGTTTTGGGAGGCTTTCTCCTATAAGGATTCTCAGATAGAAAATTGGTTTGTATTACTGTTTTTTTTTCCCTTTTCTGTTACATGCAATGACAAGAGATACCTTATAGTCTGATTTGCTCAGACACTTCAAATTAGAGTACCTGTTCAGTCATTTGCATGGGCTAGCATAGGGGGAGACCTGGTTAAGATGTGCGTGCGTGTGTATGTGTGTTTGTGTGTGTATCAGAGATAGTAACTCCCAACTTTGGGATCAGCCACCAGGAGTCTTTCTGTCCTTGGACATTTAAGGCTTAAATAATATATATTTACATTTCCCCTGTGAAAGTTGTGAAAACAATGTATGGACATAAAATGTTATGAATTACTTTTATTTTATTTATTCATGCATTAAAAGTCTGCTTGTAAGAGTATCAGGCATACAGCATGGATGCTGGCGGGATTAATTACTATTCTCCTGTAGTTCTGAAGTGTGGAACTTTAAAAGGTTCTTAGACATATGGATACATATTTCATCTTTGAACCAATTTGTTGCTATTAATGAGATCATTATCTGAAACTTTCACACTTGGCTGTGCAACTCACATGGTTAGTGATGTTAAATAAAGGCCTGATTAAACACTGGCTAGAGGTATGCGGATTGGTTAAACAAAGAAAATTTGCATGCTAGAGATGAAAGATTGTTTTAAAGTGGAAATGCGTTTTTTTTCCTTGAAGTCAAATATTTAGAAAGGCTAGAGAAATTCATTTGTAGAAGGAATGTGATAGGTTTTGTGTAACTTTAAAATCACCCTTTCTGGATCCTGGGTTAAGTGTTGAATGGTCTTGAAAGCAGAGGAGAGCTGGGAACATTTAAGATCTAAGCCAGTGCGTTAACGTTGAGGGGTGAGGGAGAGCTGGGTGGTGAGTTAGAAAGGCTGAATGAGGTCCTGAAATACGCAGTGTTAACTAAGGGTATCACTGAGAATGATTTTAGGAAACTAACTCCTCTGTCTTGCTCCCCTGTCAGTGTGTTTCTGCAGTTCAGCATTTGCTCAAACACTTTCTTTTCACCTCCATTTCAAGTTGACTTTAACAAGCCTGTCTCTGAAGATTGACTTGGCCTAATAGAACAATTGTGTGCTGACAGCTGACCTGGATTTACACAGACAGGGATTGCCGACTGTCTTGTCAGAAGGGCCTTCATAGGGTAAAGCCAAGCATTTGATTTGGTGGAAAGCTTTAGGACTGTGTTTTGTGACCTCATGAATTCTTAGGGGCTCTTATTTTCTGTGTTGTTCCCTGAGATCCCATGTTAGTGTTACTAGTACAGTTCTGATTGGAGATGAAGATGGGGGAGGGAGGTAAGCGTGGAGTCTGTAGACCAGCAGGAAGATTGTGATAGCTTCCATTTATAAACATTTACCATGTACAGGGCACTGTGTTAAGCATGTCACATGTTTGCTCATCTCATCCTGATTTTAACATGAAATTAGCAACTAGCATGAACCCATTTTACAGATGAGGAAACGAGCTGAGAAAGGCTATTTGACTTCTCCAGCCTCATACAGCTAGCAAATGATAAAACCTGGATTGAAACCCAGGTCTGTCTGGTCCCTTTGTTCCTGTTTTTGCCACATAAATAGAACTTGGCTGGTTGGGCTTGGACATTAATTCAAGTCTGATTTTTAACAACCTAGGGTAGAGGTTCTTCACCTGAGGGTCTTCCAGAGATGGTCTGTGGATTCCTGAAATAATACACATAATCTTTTCTATGTGTACTTTTATTTTCCTGAGAAGATAGATGGTTTTTGCCTCGTGGAAGAGTTTGTGATGCCCCCTCCTCCCCAAGAGGAAAAAGAGAAGCCCTAATCTAGTACCCATCATCAAACTGCCCATTACTAATGTTTGAATGGAGTGATGTGGGACTCAGGCTGCCAAGGGTTGTAGAGAAGTCCACAGGTTTATGTATCTTCATTGAGCATATTCATTTGATAGATGTTTACCAACATCCTACTCTGTACCAGACACTGTGCTGCTGTTGTCTTCTAGAGTTCACAGTCTCCTATAGAGACACATGCGTGTGGTTAAATGATAGTCCTTCCAAACTGGGTGTCCACACAGCACTGAGCCTTTAGTCCCTCAGACATCATTGTCTATGGTGAATTAACTTCTCCCCTGTGCATCTCTCCGGTTCTCGTTAAAGGCTTCATCCTTGGGAGAAGTGAGAAAATAGTCACTCAAAGAATTTTCTGCATTTAAGTGGTGCAGTGTGAAAAGGCTGCGATCAGAATGCAGGATGTGGGAGAGCAGAGTGTGAGTGTGTTCCTTGACAGCATTCCCTGGAAATGAAGTGGGGCATCTTTCCATGTTGAAATGCCTGAAGAGCAGCTCCTCACACCTTCCTCGTGGTCCTGGGTTGAGTATGGTTCCTCAGTGCCTCCTATGAGTATGACCCCTGGATCCTCAGTGCCTACTATTTATCAGATACTTGGTGTTTAATGAATGAATGATGGCTTTAGAATGAATAT